CAGTATATTTAAAAGGAATTGCATTAGATTGGTAGTTAAGTCTTAACCCTGCTCCAAATGCTTTTGATGATAATGCTTATCAAGACAGAAGCTTTAAACATCTCCTCAGGCTTTGCTTCCACACACCTAAACAAAAAGCTATTTGGCAAAAACAGCTTTTTGATATTAAACAAGGCTCAGACATAGTAAATGCCTATGTTAATTATTTCAGACAGTTGAAAAGACAAGTTGATCTTGGTGATGCCTTTCCTGCTAACTTCACCAAACAATTATTTATCCAAGGACTACACTCTAAATTTTCTATCAACATGCAAGCTAGTGAACCTGCTAACCTAAATGCTGCTATTACCGCTGCCAAACGATGGGAAACTGAACATATAATGGCTGCTAACATTACTACAGAAACAGACCAAGCTATCAGACAACTAACAGACCAGATTGCCAAACTTAGTATCAATTTGGCACAGCAACAGCAACAGCAATCACCTCAGCCTCAATCTGCTAACTATGCAGCTACCTCTAACTCTAACAGACCACAAGCCAAAGACTCATGTCACTGCCACTACTGTGGACATGCAGGACATTTCATTGCTAAATGTAGAACCAGATGAGCCGAACAATGATCTAACCAAAGAGATAACTATAGAAGAAATGATAGATGTAACCAAAGATCTCGCTCTCGAAGTCGTAATAGATCTTATTATCGAAATCCTTCTAGAGAAAGAGGAAATTCTAGAGAAAGAAGCAGATACTCAGACTCTTATAATAGTGATAGAAGAAGAACTAGTTTTCGCTTACCCTCACCCTACTATAGAGATGTTAACTACCTTGGCCATAAAGATTCTTCTCCTACCCCTCCTGTTACAATGCCAAAGAAATGGGAACAATTCCTTGACAATCCTTCTATTCGTACAGCTATGTCTGCATATCTGTATGAAGAAGCTAAAAATGCTAACTTAGTCCAAACTCCTACTTATACTACCCCTGTAAAATGCAACATTCGACTTAGAAACAGACCCTACCAAGCTATCATCGATAGTGGTGCTGCTATTAGCATGATTGCTCATCAAACTGTTAAAGAATTAGGACTCAAAATCAAACAAGCCTCTACTAGCCTAATTGTTACAACAACTGGTACTTCTATACACCCTCTAGGAATTATTAAAGATCTCCTTGTAGAAATTGAAGGAATGACTATCCCAATTACTGTTGAAGTTGTTTCTGCTACTTCCTATTTCCTTCTTCTTGGTAATGACTGGTCCAAGAAAGTTGGTACCAGTTACAATTGGAAGAATAGTTGTTATTCGTTCAAGTAGAATAACAAAAAAGTTTTAGTACCAACAACTTATGAAAGTGACCATGCCTTACCTGCTCAACCAACAGTAACAGACCCAAAAGAGCTCGACCTCTATGAGCAAGAATTTCTAACCCCTCATGAAGCATACACTGTTCAACTTACCTCAGAAACAGACAATAAAGGATGGACCATTAGGGGGTGAGATAGCATAACAAATACAAACATAGTGAAGATCACATAGTAATTTTTACTAATCAAGATTTTTCCGATGATCTGCATGATCTGCAGTCAGAGATCCGATATTTCCGATCGTTTAATTCTGTAATTGAGGTCAGAACTATCAGTTGTAAAATTTTTTTAATACTAACTTTATTTGAGCCAAAACTATTAAAGATTTTTTTAGTTGATTTTGAAATATTAGTGCCTGAACTCTTAGTCATGAAGAATTTTTATTTAATTGAGGCCAGAACTATTACCAACGATGATTTTTTTTATTTAATTGTGTGTCAGAATATTAGCTACAAAGATTTTTTTTTATTTGATTTTAACTTATTGTAGTTAAACCTTTCATATGCGATGATTTTTTTACTAACTTAGGCCAGAACTATTACACACAATGATTTTTTTATTTAATTCGGGCTAGAACTATCAGTCACGAAGGTTTATTTATTTAATTTTAATTTATTGAGACTACAATGATTTTTTATTTAATTAAGGCTAGAACTATTACTCATAATTATTTTTTTATTTAATGTAACCAGAACTATTTCTAACAATGATTTTTTATTTAATTTTAATTTATTAGATATTATTCATGAATGATTTTTTATTTAATTGGGCCAGAACTATTACGATGATTTTTTTATTTAATTGGAGCCAAAACTATTACTCATGATAATTTTTTTTAAGTAGAGACAAAACTATTGTTTACAATGATTTTTATTTAATTGGGGTATAAACTATTACTCATTATTTAATTTTAATTTATTGGGCCAGAACTATTATTTACGATAATTTTTTTTTATTTAATTAAGGCTAGAACTATTACTTACAATGATTTTTTATTTAAGTAGGGCCAGAATTATTTGGATAAAAACTATTACTTATTATGATACTTTATTTAATTTTAATCTATTGGGCCAGAACTATTACTCATGAAGATTTTTTTATTTAATTAAGGCCAGAACTATTACTCACGATGATTTTTTTACTTAAGAGGACCAGAACTATTATTCACGATAATTTTTGATTTAATTGGGGTAAAAATTATTACCTATTATGATTCTTTATTTAATTTTAATTTATTGAGCTAGAACTATTACTTACAATTATTTTTTTTTAATTAGGGTCAGAGCTATTACTTATGATGATTTTCTTATTTAAGTGAGGCCAGAACTATTATTCACAATGATTTTTTATTTAATGGGGTAAAAATTATTACTCATTACGATTCTTTATTTAATTTTAATTAATTGGATCAGAACTATTACTCATGATGATTTTTTTATTTAATTAGAGTTGAAACGATTACTTATAATATTTTTTATTTAAGTGAGGCAAAACTATTATTTATGATGATTTTTTATTTAACTGAGGCCAGAACTATTATAATGGTTTTATTTATTTATTGGGGCCAGATTTATTATTCATAATAAATTTTATTTAATTTGGATCAGAAATATTGTTCATGATAATGTTTTTATTTAATTAAAACCAGAATTATTAGTCTTATTTAATAAAGAATTTAATAATGACTTGGCTGCTTCTGTTCCAGCATTTTCATCTTGTTTTGTATTTTTATCTTCATAATTTGATATCTTTTTATCTTTTAATTTTTCACGAATTTCTTTAATTTTAGATGTTGTAATTGGTTGTGGTTGTATTTTTTGAGTAGGTGTTGCAAGAACAAGTCTTGATTCTTGTAAATTCATATTCATACTTGGATTTACTTTCAGATCATATCGATTAAACATTCCTTCAAGCTGTTGTTGATGAATGACAATACTCCAAATTCGGTATTTTACAAAGTTATATATTAATGGAAAATTATAAAGCATTATATTAGATGAGTTTGCATATTTTATAAATTCTTTTTTAAATTCTAAATCTTCAAATGCTTCTAATAATCCCCAAGTATTAGATAATCCTTCTTTTTTGTCATTATTTAGAATCTCAATATAATTTAATTCTATATTAGATTGAGATTGAGATTTTTGCAATTCAGTATTAGTATATACTTTAAAAAATGCACTTGCAAATAATGATCCATTTGAGCCTCCTAATGTGCAAACAAGTAGTGGTAAATGTATCCATGATAACATCCATTTGCAAAATCCTTCATATGCATTTTTTAAGCCAGATTCTAAAGATATATAAAGTTCTTGATATTCTTCAATATTTAAATAAAAATTTGCTTCTTCAAGTTCTTCTTCAAATAATTCTGCTATATTTTCTTGTGCATTTTTTATATCTTCAATCCATTTTAATACAGCATCAGGCATTTCATGAGCTCTATAACCAGCAGGAAGGTTTTCTATTTTTTGTTCTGTATAAATTCTAGGAATTGGATCATATTGTGTTACAAATTCATAAATAGAAAAATAAAATTCAGTACTAAATTTTACAAGACATTTGATTTGAATATTTAATTTCCTATTTTGTAACCATTCATTAAATAATTTCCATTGAGATATATAGGTTTTTGGAATATTTTTAATTGATTCAAGTTGTGGAAGAAACCAGTTACAAAATTTAATATGTGCATCTTGTCTAGATAAATATTGTTGAGCTGTAATCAATTGATATTTCCATTTTGTTATAATAGGTTGTTGATATTTGCTAAATGTATAATTTAAAAGTTTTCATATAGTTTGTGAATATATTCAGATCTTAAATTCATTGGATTATTTTTATCAGTTGTATTATGTCTATCATGAATTTTAAAAGCTAAGTTAATAAGATTAAATGGATGTTCTTTATAAGATCCTTTAGGGCCATCTATTTTTCCAAATGCATTATTTTCAAAATTCATTAAAGCAATTTGTGTTGCATGTAGTGCACATGGAATTCTAAAAGATGTAGATTGGTTTAAAGTATTAAATTTTACAACAGCACCATTTTTATTTGAAGACATATATGATGTATTGTCTGTTAACCAAAATATACATCTTTTAAAATCAATGTTATTATTATTGCAAATTTTTGTAACACTAGTTGCAACAGTATTGGAATTGCAATGTATTAAATCATCAACTCCTAATATACTAAACATAGGATAGTTTGTTTCAATATTTCAAAAAGATGTAGCAACTATTAAAATTTTGCTTTCTCCTCTTTTGCTTTCATCTACTAATAGACCATAACCATAATTAGAAATATCATATGATTTAGGTTTATTTGAATCAAGTTGAAGAGCTGCAACTTCTTTATTCCATCTTGATAGTGTATGTATATTAATCCATTTTTCTGGTTCTTCTCCAGTAATAAATTCATAAAATTTTTTAGTGCATACTACTGTTGATTTTAAAGAAATTTGCCCTAAATTACTAATTTCTGTAGCCATTTGTAAAAATTGTACTGAATACTCATTTTTAAATTTAAAAAGCTTTTTAGCTGATTTTTTAAAATTTTCTGGTGTTATTTTTTTAGCTTTTTGAATTGCAGATCTAATTTTTGAAATATGTTGAGCTTTTGTTTTATCTTTACTTGCTATAGCTATTTTAAGTAATCTTATTTGCTTTTTTGATTCTTCTAATTCTCTTTGAAATTTTTGATTTTCTTTTTCTAATTTTTTTATTTTTTGAGTTAAAGATATTGCATCTGATTCATGTTTATATAAAAAATTGTCTAATAATTTTAAAATCTTTTTTTGACAATACTCTGAAATAAGTTCTCCTTGATATTTTCCTTTTGTATAAATCATATTATTTAACATATAAATTGCTCTTGAAAGCTGATTTTGAGAAATACTATTTACTTTTGAATGTAATTCTTGTTGCAATTTAAATTCTAATTTAGTTGAATGTTGTAATTCTTGAAATAAATTCTCAGATTCTAATCCAGACTCATTAGATTCAGACTCATTAAATCCAGACTCAGTAGATTCAGACTCATTAGATTCAGATTCAGACAAATCATAAGGAATATATATTGCAGTATTTAATGTATTAAAATTTTGGTTTAATACTAATTCTGATTCTACTTCAATGTTATTATTATTTGTTACTATAGAGGACTCAGATTTGTTGGAATATTTTAACTTTTTTGCCTGTCGAGCTCTTTTTAAATGAGTATTTCGCTTTTTGGGCAACATTTTAATAATAAAAATAAAAAATAAACGATTATAAAATTTATAATTTATTTATATAAAAATAAGCCAATAAAATATTTTGTTTACATGTTTACATTTTAATAATGCCTATTTTAGGAAAATAAATTTTATTATAAGCAAAATAATACTTTACAATAAGATTCTTTAAAAAAACTTTATAGCTAATAGTTCTGACCCTGATAAAATAAAAAATTATCATAAATAAAAATCCCAATCCCAACAAATTAAATACCTTCATAACCAATAGTTATAACTCTAAATAAATAAAAAAAATAATTATAAGTAATACTGTAGTTCTGGTTTCCAATTAAATAAAAAATTATCATAAATAATAATCCTGACCCAATTAAATAAAAGAAATCATCGCTAATAATGGCTCTGGCTCCAATTAAATAAAAATTATCATGAGTAATAGTTCTGGTTCCAATTAAGTAAAAAAATTATTATAAATAATAGTTCCGAATCCAATAAATAAAAAAATAATTATAAGTAATAATTTTAGTCAAGAAAAATAGTCGTAAGTAATAGTTTTTGTTCAAATTAATTAAAACATTATTATGAGTAAATAGCTCTGGCCCAAATAAATTGAAATTAAATAAAAAATTATCGTGAGTAAATAGTTCTAGCTTCAATAATTAAAATTAAATAAAAAAATCATCATGAGTAATAGTTCTGGCCCAATAAATTAAAATTAAATAAAAAAATACTATAAGTAATAGTTCTGACCCGATTAAATAAAAAATTATATTATGAATAATAGTTCTGGTTCTAACTAAATAAAAAAATTATCATGAATAATAGTTCTGGTCCCAATAAATTAAAATTAAACAAAAACCTTTGTGGCTAATAGATCTGATCCCAATTAAATAATAAATAATAGTTCCAGCCCTCTTCGTAACATAGTTCTAATTCTAATTAAATAAAAAGCTATAAAAAGTAATAGTTCTGGCCTTAATTAAATAAAAAAAATAATTGTGAATACCAGCTCTGGCTCAAATTAAATAAAAAAACTTTTACGATCAATAGTTCTGATCCTAGTTAAATAAAAATATCATTTTGCAAGATAGCTCTAACCCCAATTAAAAACCATTGTGAGTAATAGCTTTGGTTTCAATTAAATAAAAAAAAACATTGTGAATAAATAGTTCTGACCCAACAAATTAAAATTAAATATAGTTCTGGCTCCAATAAATTATGTATAGTTCCAGCTCCAATAAATTAAATATAGTTCCAGCTCCAATAAATTATGTATAGTTCCAGCTTCAATAAATTAAATATAGTTCCAGCTTCAATAAATTAAAAAACTTTCATGCCTAATAATTCTGGTCCAAACATATTAAGAAATATTCATAACTAGTAGCTTTGGCCCAAATATATTAGTGTTAAAGTGTTAAAGTTAAAAAATTTTTGCAGCTAGTCCTAATATATATATGTTATATTTGGAACAATCATAATTAACTAATTTGTGATTGATGATCATCGATAGTAAAAACATATCGATATAAAATTTAAACTCTAATAACTTTTTGAACTACTGAAAATATGCAAGTAAATTACTTTTATTAGATTATTCTTAACATTATCTTTAAAGTAATAGAGCCTTTTTTTTTATTTCTATAAAATTAATCGTGTTTTAGTAATTAGTTTTCGCTTTAACTTATATGAAAAATAAAAAAAGAGCTCTATTACTTTAATAAGAATGTTAAGAGAAATCTAATAAATATAATTTTGCTTACATCTCTTAAGTAACTTGGGAGTTATTCCAATTTGAAATTTTATATATTTTTGCTATTAAGAAGAATGATCGACAAAAAAACCTATATTATGAAATTAATATATGATCTTCACTATGTTTGTAGATCATATGCCATCTCACCCCCTAATGGACCATCTACCAACCTCGACGACGAACTCAAACTGCCTCATCTCGTGTATGTGGCAACTGTAAATCCTCTGACTACCTCTTTGCTAATTGCCCTCAAAATACTTGCAACCAATGTCATCATAAAGGACATATTGCTGTCCACTGTCAACTACAAGCCCCTCGAAGAAAAACTTGCAAGAATTGCCAAAGCCCTGAACACCTTTATCGACAATGCCCAGAAAACATTTGTTATGAATGCAACTCAATGGGACATATTGCCATTGATTGTTCCTTAGCTCCTCTCAAATGCCTAAATCAGACCTACCAATGCGGATGCAACCTCAATGAAATTGAAGCCCAAAGACAATACTATCATAGCAATCATCGTACCCACTATTGATGCCATTTCAAGAACCCCCAAAAACCAGAAACCCTACAAGAATTAGATAAAGTTCTTGTTTGTAAAGGTTGCTATACTGACTTCCATCAAAGCCTTGACCGTGACGACCCTAGAAGCCAGTACTTTTATACTGAAGGTGATGGATATGGAACCTTAGTTGAATGTAAATTATGTAAACATGTTGAATCTAGAAACAAGATGCATAATTTAGAAAGTATTACAGAAGAATTATGGTTTTGTGAACTTGAACACTTATATGCTTACAAAGCCAGTACAGATGTCCTTTACAACCCTAATTATAACCTGTAGACCCGAATCAGACACTATACTAAGTCAACCAGAAGTGCTGGATCTCAGTATGAAATGAATCAGACTTGTATCTTTCGTCTTGCTAAAGTTTATTTACAAGAAACTGACCTCACTATCACTGAAGCATTGGAACCCCAAATAAATGACCAGATCAATTGACCATGGACCTATGAAGAAATGGACCTTATTTTACGAGCTAAACAAGCTGTCCTTAATGAAGAAGAAAAACAACTCCTTCAACAAACCTTGGCTGAATCTTTTGATATTAGCCATCCGGAATTTGACCATCAGCTTGCTATAGCTAACCTTCGTCGACAGTTTAGTACTTCTGTTGACTTTTGCAAAGAATGCTTACATGTTAAGCATTAAGATGAATTAGACACCTATCAAGGATATTGCTAGGATTGTGCTTCTCCTCCAGTCCCTATCTATGAACCCTCTACACCTGAACCAGTAAACCCTCTGCTCAGCTCTATTGATACAACTCTACCCGAACCAGACCCATTGCAACCACAAGTCGCACAACTACAACAACAAGTAAAAACTCAGAACCAACTTATTCTACAGCTTCAACAGAAGGTAGAAAAGTTAGAAAGATTCACTTAGACCCTCCTACAAGTATTCCAACAAGATGCCCAGACCACCCAACAATGATATACTTTCCTGACTCAAGAATGGAAAAAGTCAAATTTTTAGATCATCCTAGGCAGAATGAAAAACTACCTGTTGAACCAGACAATGTGCATCAAGTTTTTACAATCGACACTATGATCCCCTATGAAGAATATAGTGTTAGTCCAGAACCATCTAAATTGAACATTGGACCTCTAGATGCTAAACAAGGAAAACAATTTAGCCAGCTGCTGATGGAGTTCTCAGATCTTTTTGCATAAGATATCACAGAATTAGAACACACTAACCTTGTGACTCATCAAATCTATACAGAAGAAGGACCTCCTATTCGATCTCGACCTTATTCTTCTTTCTCTACAGAACGGACATTTATTAAAAAAGAAATCCAACAAATGCTCGATAGTGGACTTACTAGCTCTCAGGCCCAGGTGATGCTTCAGGACTAGGTCCTAAGTGTTTTAAATATTAGATTTATATATTTCTAGCTCTCAGACCTAGGTGATGCTTCAGGGCTAGATTCTAAGTATTTATAATCTCAGACTTAGTAGATTTTAAATTTTAAAGTCTTTATTATTTAATATTAGTTAAATTTATAGTTTTCTAGCTCTCAGGAATAGGCAATGCTCTGGGGCTAGGTTCTAAGCATTTTAGATCTTAAATTTTGTAATTATTAATTTTAATTAATAATGTAATAGTTAGTTAATAGTTTTATAGTTCTCAGGCCTGGATGATGTTCTAGAGTTAGTCCTAAGTATTTTTAATCTTAAATTTACTAATTTTCTAGCTCTTAGGCTCTTGTGAAGCTTTGAGCTTAGGTTCTAAATGGTTTAAATCCTAGATTTTAGTTATTTAATTAGTAATAAAGTTAAATTATAGAAAATTTTGTAAAATATAATAAAATTTAGTAAAATTTAGTAAAATTTGGTAAAATTTAGTAAAATTTGATATATTTTGTTAAAAGTAATAAATATAAAATATTAATATATGTTTTCAATATAAATTTATACCTAAAATCAGATTACTTAATGCATAAAGATAGAATTAATTAATAAAATTTTAAGAATTTTAAAATTTTTAATAAATTATTAATAAAATATAGAAAATCTTATGATACTCAATATTTTACTAAATAATTCTATTTTTGTATACTATATAATTTGATTCTATATATAAATTTACATTATATTGGTATATTAAATATTATATTTTTTATATATTAAAAAAATGATGCCAAATTTTAGATTTTTTGATCAAAAAATTTAAAAATTAGTAAAATTTGACATCTTTTTTATAAAATCAATAAAGATAACCCACTAATATACTTTTTTAATGTAATTTAATGTCTAGAATCAGATTAATTAAAGCATAAAAATAGAATTAATTAATAAACTTTAAGAATATTAAGATTTTTAATAATTTTACTAATAAAATTATAAAAATTCTTATGTTACTCAATATTTTACTAAATAATTCTATTTTTGTATACTAAGTAATCTGATTCTATAAATAAAAATACATTATACTGGCATATTAAATATTATATTTTTTATATATTAAGAAAATGATGCCAAATTTTGTTTTTTTTGATCAAAAAATCCAAAATTTGGTATTATTTTTTTAAAATTTAAGAAATATAAAATTTAATATGCCAGCATAATGTATTTTTATATATAGAACAAATGTATTTAGAGCAGCAAAATAGAATTAATTATTAAAAAACTGAGAATTATTAGATTTTCTATATTTTAATTAGTAAAATTATTGAAAATCTTATGA